GACTCCACCCCCACAGGAAGAAGAGGATTCTGGGAGGTCGGGTTTCTCGGCAGGGGGCGTGGCCATGGCAGTGCTCGCTGCAGAGCGGTCAGAGCGGTCATGTGTGCGGCTGCGTCCTGATCGCCCGGAGGTGGGCTCTGACCGTGGCTCACTGCTTTGAGGGGTGAGGATGAGGGGGCGGGGCTTCCTGAATGACCTCGAGCCGAAGTAAAACACTCATACTGGTGTGTGTGTGTGTGTGTGTGTGTGTGTGTGTGCAGGAGAGAGAGCGCAGACCTGTGGAAGGTGGTTCTGGGTCTGAATAATCTGGATCATCCGGGGACTCACAGTCAGAGCCGCGGCGTTCGCTCCATCATCGTTCATCCACGCTACAACCGGGCCGTGGTGGACTACGACATCAGCGTGGTCCAGCTGGACTCTGAGGTCAGAGAGTCCGCTTTTAAAGACCGGTAAAAACCGGATTAACAGAGGAAGGGGGCGCTCTCGAGTCTGGTTAAAAAACAGGCAAAAACGGGGACCGTAGAGACCCGACAGTAACCCCGAGTTTCCACCGCATCCTGAACGGCGGCGATTTTCACCGTCTGTCAATTCCTTCCAAATCCGTTTGTGAGGCGAATTTCATGGCGGATTACTGACAGCGGTAATCACGAGAACTTACGAGGACCTGCCGATTCACGATCAATCTCACGATAACGAGTCGTCTCTCTAAAGACAGACACATAGACATATAAGCAGTAGATCGTGTCAGAGGAGGAAATCTACTTCTAGACTTCTAGAACTCTTGCGATCGTCAGAGGAATGGAAAGAAGTCGGTGTAAATTGACACGTTAACTTGAATGGTTACGATCAGCTACGATCAGAGGATACGACCTTTTAGGAGACGATCAGGATGAAGGTGGAGGTCAGGGGTCGGAGTCTGAAGGTGGTTCAGGGTCTCAGTCTAATGATTTTCTGGTTTCAGATCGAGGAGACGGACTTCGTCAGACCGGTGTGTCTACCTCAGCTCAACCAGCTCCCCTCCCCCGACTCCTACTGTTACATCACAGGCTGGGGTCACATGGGCAACAGGAGTGAGTGCGCACACACACACACACACACACACACACACACACACACCAAAATGAAACTTGAAATGTGAGTTTTATTTTGTTTGTTTTTATTTTGTTTATTTTTATTTTGTTTGTTTTTATTTTGTTTATTTTTATTTTGTTTGTTTTTATTTTGTTTATTTTTATTTTGTTTATTTTATTTTGTTTGTTTTTATTTTGTTTATTTTATTTTGTTTGTTTTTATTTTGTTTATTTTTATTTTGTTTGTTTTTATTTTGTTTATTTTTATTTTGTTTGTTTTTATTTTGTTTATTTTATTTTGTTTGTTTTTATTTTGTTTATTTTTATTTTGTTTATTTTTATTTTGTTTATTTTTATTTAGTTTGTTTTTATTTATTTTATTTTATTTTGTTTGTTTTTATTGTGTTTATTTTTATTTTGTTTGTTTTTATTTAGTTTATTTTTATTTTGTTTGTTTTTATTTTGTTAATTTTTCTTTTGTTTGTTTTTCTTTTGTTTATTTTTCTTTTGTTTGTTTTTATTTTGTTTATTTTTATTTTGTTTGTTTTTAATTTGTTTATTTTTATTTTGTTTGTTTTTTTGTTTTTTTTATTTTGTTTATTTTTATTTTGTTTGTTTTTATTTTGTTTATTTTTATTTTGTTTGTTTTTATTTTGTTTGTTTTTATTTTGTCTCTTTTTATTTTGTTTGTGTTTTAAAATTGCCAACCTGGATGGACCTGGATGGGGTCGTTGTAATTCCGGCCCCAGCCTACAGGGGGACAGCCTCGCATGGACTTAAACACTCACACACCTTCAGGTCCCCACTTGGCTAAAATTAAAATGTAACTCATAAGTGTGTGTGTGTGTGTGTGTGTGTGTGTGTGTGTGTGCAGTGCCCTTTAAACTCCAGGAGGGGGAGGTCCGGATCATCTCTCTGTCTCAGTGTCAGTCCTACTTTGACATGAAGACCATAACTCCCAGAATGCTTTGTGCTGGCTATGATGCTGGGACCGTGGACTCCTGCATGGTAAACTCTTCTTCAGTTCAAACAAGAATTATTTTCATCATGTTTATAAAAACGTTTCAGTTTAAGTCCGAGGTCATGGTCCTCAGTCAGAGAAAGGTAGATCACCTTCTCCAGGTCGGAGGGGCGGTCCTTCCTCAGGGGGAGGAGTTCAAGTATCTCAGTGGTGGTGAAGAAAGAGCTGAGCCGTAAGGAGAGACTCTGGATTTACCGGTCGACCTCATCACAGGAGCCGATCCAGACCGGCCGGTGGAGGCGGTTCTGAGACGGACTCAGAGTCACAGTTTGTTAGAGCTGGACTTTAACTCTCTGTCTGTCTGTGTGCGTCCTCAGGGTGACAGCGGCGGCCCACTGGTGTGCGAGGAGGACGGCGGGCGCTGGACGCTGTTCGGCCTGACGTCGTGGGGCAGCGTGTGCTTCAGCAAGGTCCTCGGACCCGGAGTGTACAGCAACGTAACGCACTTCACCCCCTGGATCCAGCAACAGATCTACGTCCACACCTACCTGCAGGACTGACACGCACACACACACACACACACACACACACACACACACACACACACACACACACACACACACACTTCGTTGTCCAGCATTCCAGGAGGAAGTGATGTCACGACGTCTCTCAAACTCACACCTTCAGTTCCTCTTCATGTGCCTCTCTCTGTACTGATAGCCTTCAGATGCTAATTGCTGTTAGCAGTGTTAGCTCGTATCACTGATGCTAACTCGTTAGCTGGTAGACCTGCTGCTGCTGCGGAAAATTAACGCACTCTGAGTTCGTCGAGTTCGGACTCAAAAAGACCGAAAGAGTCGCCGACGAACTTTTAAATGTTTAAATATTTTAGCGTGAATTTTAACATCGTCACTTAAAGTCGATTGTTTTAACCTGTTAGCGTGTTCGTAACGATCCGACGTTCAACACTGGATCTCTACTAGCTGCTAACTATCAATAACTCGACTTCCCACAATGCTTCACTCTACTGTGCCTGTACTTAAACCATAAAAGTGTCACCTGTTGTTACCTGTGTGTGTGTGTGTGTGTGTGTGTGCGTGTGTGCGTGTGCATGTTTCCGAACACATTGACGATCTTTCTGGGTGTCTTTGACGGGCAGCGTCGCCCTGAAGAATCGGCGCTCAGACTGAAGGTCAGATGATATTATGAGTCTGGCGAGTCCTGATTGGTCGTCTTTGTTTTGATGATTTAAAGGGGCGGGTCAGAGGAGCAGCCTTAGCGCTGTGGTGTAACTGCCGTAACCTAGCAACAGTAATCTCACTGACCCCCAAATTCCAACAGCCTGAGTTAAAGTTCGTTAAAGTTAGAGATTTTCCTTTTTGACCTTTAAAGAAAAAGCTGCTTCAGTTAGCTACCTAGCTACTGCCCGGGATAGTTAGCAAGCTAGCTAACACCAATAAATAACTGCCAAGTTAGTGCGAGCTAAAGGTTAAGCACAAACGTAGCGTAGGCGTAGATCACTAATGTCCTCATATGTTGGTAGTAAGCTACATTAGCTAACGCTTCGGATTACATTTTTATAGCTAACACTCTATGCTAGCTGCTTAGCGGACTCAGCCACCATGAGAGCGACAGCAAATTACCGTAACTGACAGAGTAAACATGAAATAAGGCCGTCAACCAATCAATCAATCACCCAACTAATCAATCTATCAATCCCTTATTTTGTAATCGATATCAAATGTTATTTTAAGACACTAACTGCAAATGTGAGCGGGATTTTTGACTCTGAGTCTGTCTTCAGTTTGACTCATTAGACTGTGTCCCAACGAGTGACCTGGACCCTAATCCTAGATTAAAAATACAAATTCACCGTAAAACTCAGAATAAAAGTGCAAATTTACCGTAAAACTTGGAATAAAAGTGCAAATTTAACGTAATTCTCAGAATAAAAGTGCAAATTTACCGTAAAACTTGGAATAAAAGTGCAAATTTACCATAAAACTCAGAATAAAAGTGCAAATTTACCATAAAACTCAGAATAAAAGTGCAAATTTACCGTAAATCCCAGAATAAAAGTGCAAATTTACCGTAAAACTTGGAATAAAAGTGCAAATTTAACGTAATTCTCAGAATAAAAGTGCAAATTTACCGTAAAACTCAGAATAAAAGTGCAAATTTACCGTAAAACTCAGAATAAAAGTGCAAATTTACCGTAAAACTCAGAATAAAAGTGCATATTTACCGTAAAACTCAGAATAAAAGTACAAATTTACCGTAAAACTCAGAATATAAGTGCAGACTCAATGACAGACCATGTCAGAGAAACATTTATCTAACCTTGATTTAGAGTTTACACTTTGTCTCATGTCACATCTATTTACTATTAACATGCTGTACTGCAGACCTCCAGCAGGTGGAGCCTTGAGTGTTTTGGCTTCACTCTGATGAAGCTGTTGTGCTGGCCATCTTTTCTTTGATAAATAAATTGATGAAATTTGAGGCGTAAGAGCTCCACCGTCGCTCAGACACTAAAACTGAAACATCAAGAAGAGTTGCTCCACCAGTTGCTCCACCAGTTGCTCCACCAGTTGCCCGTTGCCCCCCCACGCTGTCGTCTCACTGACATCCAGAACATTCCAAGTGGTTGTTGTTGTTGTTGTTTTGTGTGTTTGATTTTTTACGAGTATTTTTCTACAGCTTTTTGTATGTCATGACGCAGGGCTGTGTGTGTGTGTGTGTGTGTGTGTGTGTGTGTGAGTACACAGACTGTTTGTTGGTGTCTGATTTGGCTTGTTTGCGTGTTTCTGAAGTCACTTCCTGATTTGGCGGTTATAACTTTGTTACCATGGCGATGATGATGATGATGAGGAGGAGGAGGAGGAGTGTTGTTGTTTTTCTATCTTCTCCTGATTATTGAAAGTCTCTCTGGACTGTAGACTGTAGCCTCTGATGTTGGTGTAAACTGTGAGTGTCTTTGGTTTGTATCACCGTGTTTAACCCACAATAAAACCACACAAACACACACACACACACACCGCACCTGTCTGCCTATCTTTGTGGGGACTAACGGCTGGAGAGACGACCTCTCTTTTGGGGACATTTTTGTGACTCTCATAAGAGTGTTCAGATGAAGTGGTTAAAGAACTGTTTCACTTTCTGCCCTCAAAAAAAGTATAAAAGACATGAATGAGTGAGTGAGTGAGTGAGTGAGTGAGTGACTCAGAGTCTGTATGCAGACCTGTCACCGTACAGTCAGACTGTTTCCACTTCCTCTGGCGAGCGGGAATAAACGTCAATGATTCAGATTCTGGGAGTTTTTTTCAGTCCTGACCTGAACAACAACAACGACGACGGCGGCGGCGGCGACAGCTCAGTCAAAGTCAGGGGAACATTTCTGTGTCTGACCTCAGACAGGTTTGTGTGTGTGTGTGTGTGTGTGTGTGTGTTTTCTATCGCCTTATTCCGATCAAGACCAGACAACTGAAGGTCATGTAAACACCTTAGGAGAACGCCGATAAAGAAACTGAGATAATACGATTGGAATCCGATTTTCTCGACCATGTAACCAGCGTAGTCAGAGAATGATCAGTTACAGGCCACGCCCCCTCAACCCCGTTACAAAAACACCAGAGAAGAAGAAGTGTCGCGATCATTTAAAGAACTTTCGACTCAGAAGAAACTGGAACACGAAAGAACGAGGAGGAGGAGAGCGCCGTTATCGTTCCCGTCCCGACAGAAACGGACGAACGAGGAACAGAGACGTCTTTGAAAAACGTCCGGAAACAGCGCCGCTGAAAAGACCCATATCGCCCCCTAGTGTTGGGGAGGAGGACACGTTCACGTCAATAATTCGATTTTCTCAGCTGCATGTAAACGAGGACGAGGAGAGAGGTCGGAAAAAGACGAATTACGAGTTTACTCCGATTAAACTGAGACTGTACACGCTCTGAGTGTTTCGTCGACGTTTCTGGTCGGACCATGAAAAAAAAAAACTCACCTGGAGTTCGAGCTGTCAATCATCTGTGTGAGGTGTGATAATCAGCTGTTTGTGCGACACACACATACGCACACACCGACACACACCTGCTATTAACATAATGATAATAAGACGTGTGTGTGTGTGTGTGTGTGTGTGTGTGTGTGTGTGTGTGTGTGTGTGTGTGTGTGTGTGTGTGTGTGTGTGTGTGTGTTACAGCCTGGCATTAGTACAGTGTGAGTGTGACCTCTGTTTCTTAATGCCAGGCTTTACTGTGTCTGTGTGTGAGAGAGAAAGAGAGTGTGTGTGTGTGTGTGTGTCATCTTACTGAGACAAACAAAACAGAGTGTGTTATTAACACACACACACACTCACACACTCACTCGTAGTGTTTTTGTTGCTGTCTGATGACCGTCCCCTCAGTCCGTCCCTCAGTCCTCTTCGTCTCTTTGTTCCTCAAACATCAGAGTCTCTGCGCTCAGCAAAGGTAAGAATGAGTGTGAGTCAAATCTCTGATTTTATGTTTATTTTTCAGACGCTGTGAGAACGAGTGTGTGTGTGTGTGTGTGTGTGTGTGTGTGTGAGTGTGTGTGTGAGAATCAGTCCTGATGTTATAATTGATCTTTATCCTAAAAAAAATTAACAGTTTTTAAAATTGACAGTTTTTAACACAAATATGATCAAACCAGTGAAGAGACGTTGTCATGGAGACGCTCAAAGAAGAAAACTAAAACTTTAGTCTCTCAGTCTGAGTCAGTTTCAGTCAGTTTCAGTCAGTTTCAGTCAGTTTCAGTCAGTTTCAGTCAGTTTGAGTCAGTTTCAGTCAGTTGCAGTCAGTTTCAGTCAGTTTCAGTCAGTTTCAGTCAGTTTCAGTCAGTTTGAGTCAGTTTCAGTCAGTTTCAGTCAGTTTCAGTCAGTTTCAGTCAGTCTGAGTCAGTTTGAGTCAGTTTGAGTCAGTTTGAGTCAGTCTGAGTCCGGTCTTCGTCGGCTCCTCCTGCAGGTTTGAAACGACCGTGTTTGTGTTTCAGATGATGGATGAAGAATCCACGAAGCGCTACGTTCAAGACGGACAGACGGAGGAACGAGGCGAGGTAACAGCTGATCTCTGAGATATCGTCTGCTCCTCCAAAATAAAAGGATGGTTTTAAAGGCTCTTTCTCCATCCTTCAGTTTTCTGTAAATTACTGCAGATTTAATCAGATTTGAGCTCGTTTAACACCTGACTGAACTTGAAACATCATAAATATTTGTCTTCATGTTATAAACTCGGGAGGTTTCACGGTGATATCTTTACCTGGGGGGTCTCCTACCATCATGGACGCCATCTTGAAAATGGCGCCTTTCTCGTGGTCAAACTTTGGTCAACTTTGAATTTGTCGTTAAGGACGTCTGTTACTATGAAGACCAGCTGAGGGACGTTTGTTCGGGTTATTTTAGGTCAAAGTTACAGCTGACGAGTTTCTCAGAGACGTTAGACTGTGTCCCAACGAGTGACCTGGACCCTAATCCCAGATTATAAATACAAATTTACCGTAAAACTCAGAATAAAAGTGCAAATTTACTGTAAAACCCAGAAAAAAAGTGCAAATTTACCGTAAAACTCAGAATAAAAGTGCAAATTTACCGTAAAACTCAGAAAAGAAGTGCAAATTTACAATAAAACTTAGAATAAAAGTGCAAATTTACCGTAAAACTCAGAATAAAAGTACAAATTTAACGTAAAACTCAGAATAAAAGCGCAAATTTACCGTAAAACTCAGAATAAAAGTGCAAATTTACCGTAAAACTTATAATAAAAGTGCAAATGTACCGTAAAACTCAGAATAGAAGTGCAAATTTACAATAAAACTCAGAATAAAAGTGCAAATTTACCGTAAAACTCTGAATAGAAGTGCAAATTTACAATAAAACTTAGAATAAATTGCAAATTTACCGTAAATCCCAGAATAAAAGTGCAAATTTACCGTAAAACTCAGAATAAAAGTGCAAATTTACCGTAAAACTCTGAACAAAAGTGCAAATTTGCCATAAAACTCAGAATAAAAGTGCAAATTTACTGTAAAACCCAGAATAAAAGTGCAAATTTACCATAAAACTCAGAATAAAAGTACAAATGTATCGTTAAACTCAGAATAAAAGTACAAATTTACCGTAAAACTCTGAATAAAAGTGCAAATTTACAATAAAACTTATAATAAAAGTGCAAATGTACCGTAAAACTCAGAATAGAAGTGCAAATTTACAATAAAACTTAGAATAAAAGTGCAAATTTACTGTAAAACCCAGAATAAAAGTGCAAATTTACCGTAAATCCCAGAATAAAAGTGCAAATTTACCGTAAAACTCAGAATAAAAGTACAAATTTATCGTTAAACTCAGAATAAAAGTACAAATTTACCGTAAAACTCTGAATAAAAGTGCAAATTTACCGTAATTCTCAGAATAAAAGTGCAAATTTGCCATAAAACTCAGAATAAAAGTGCAAATTTACCGTAAAACTCAGAATAAAAGTGAAAATTTGCCATAAAACTCAGAATAAAAGTGCAAATTTGCCATAAAACTCAGAATAGAAGTGCAAATTTACAATAAAACTTATAATAAAAGTGCAAATGTACCGTAAAACTCAGAATAGAAGTGCAAATTTACAATAAAACTTAGAATAAAAGTGCAAATTTACCGTAAATCCCAGAATAAAAGTGCAAATTTACCGTAAAACTCAGAATAAAAGTGCAAATTTACTGTAAAACTCTGAATAAAAGTACAAATGTATCGTTAAACTCAGAATAAAAGTACAAATTTACCGTAAAACTCTGAATAAAAGTGCAAATTTACCGTTATTCTCAAAATAAAAGTACAAATTACCGTAAAACTCTGAATAAAAGTACAAATTTATCGTTAAACTCAGAATAAAAGTACAAATTTACCGTAAAACTCTGAATAAAAGTGCAAATTTACCGTAATTCTCAGAATAAAAGTGCAAATTTACCGTAAAACTAAGAACAAAAGTACAAATTTACCGTAAAACTCAGAATAAAAGTGCAAATTTACCATAAAACTCAGAATAGAAGTGCAAATTTACCGTAAAACCCAGAATAAAAGTGCAAATTTACCGTAATTCTCAGAATAAAAGTGCAAATTTACCGTAAAACTCAGAATAAAAGTGCAAATTTGCCATAAAATTCAGAATAAAAGTGCAAATTTGCCATAAAACTCAGAATAAAAGTGCAAATTTACCGTAAAACTCAGAATAAAAGTGCAAATTTGCCATAAAACTCAGAATAAAAGTGCAAATTTGCCATAAAACTCAGAATAAAAGTGCAAATTTACCGTAAAACTCTGAATAGAAGTGCAAATTTACAATAAAACTAATAGTAAAAGTGCAAATGTACCGTAAAACTCAGAATAGAAGTGCAAATTTACAATAAAACTTAGAATAAAAGTGCAAATTTACCGTAAATCCCAGAATAAAAGTGCAAATTTACCGTAAAACTCAGAATAAAAGTGCAAATTTACCGTAAAACTCTGAATAAAAGTGCAAATTTGCCATAAAACTCAGAATAAAAGTGCAAATTTACCGTAAAACTCAGAATAAAAGTGCAAATTTACCGTAAAACTCAGAATAAAAGTACAAATTTACCGTAAAACTCAGAATAAAAGTGCAAATTTACCATAAAACTAGGAATAAAAGTACAAATTTACCGTAAAACTCTGAATAAAAGTGCAAATTTACAATAAAACTTATAATAAAAGTGCAAATGTACCGTAAAACTCAGAATAGAAGTGCAAATTTACAATAAAACTTAGAATAAAAGTGCAAATTTACTGTAAAACCCAGAATAAAAGTGCAAATTTACCGTAAATCCCAGAATAAAAGTGCAAATTTACCGTAAAACTCAGAATAAAAGTACAAATTTATCGTTAAACTCAGAATAAAAGTACAAATTTACCGTAAAACTCTGAATAAAAGTGCAAATTTACCGTAATTCTCAGAATAAAAGTGCAAATTTGCCATAAAACTCATAATAAAAGTGCAAATTTACCGTAAAACTCAGAATAAAAGTGAAAATTTGCCATAAAACTCAGAATAAAAGTGCAAATTTGCCATAAAACTCAGAATAAAAGTGCAAATTTACCGTAAAACTCTGAATAGAAGTGCAAATTTACAATAAAACTTATAATAAAAGTGCAAATGTACCGTAAAACTCAGAATAGAAGTGCAAATTTACAATAAAACTTAGAATAAAAGTGCAAATTTACCGTAAATCCCAGAATAAAAGTGCAAATTTACCGTAAAACTCAGAATAAAAGTGCAAATTTACTGTAAAACTCTGAATAAAAGTACAAATGTATCGTTAAACTCAGAATAAAAGTACAAATTTACCGTAAAACTCTGAATAAAAGTGCAAATTTACCGTTATTCTCAAAATAAAAGTACAAATTACCGTAAAACTCTGAATAAAAGTACAAATTTATCGTTAAACTCAGAATAAAAGTACAAATTTACCGTAAAACTCTGAATAAAAGTGCAAATTTACCGTAATTCTCAGAATAAAAGTGCAAATTTACCGTAAAACTAAGAACAAAAGTACAAATTTACCGTAAAACTCAGAATAAAAGTGCAAATTTACCATAAAACTCAGAATAGAAGTGCAAATTTACCGTAAAACCCAGAATAAAAGTGCAAATTTACCGTAATTCTCAGAATAAAAGTGCAAATTTACCGTAAAACTCAGAATAAAAGTGCAAATTTGCCATAAAATTCAGAATAAAAGTGCAAATTTGCCATAAAACTCAGAATAAAAGTGCAAATTTACCGTAAAACTCAGAATAAAAGTGCAAATTTGCCATAAAACTCAGAATAAAAGTGCAAATTTGCCATAAAACTCAGAATAAAAGTGCAAATTTACCGTAAAACTCTGAATAGAAGTGCAAATTTACAATAAAACTTATAGTAAAAGTGCAAATGTACCGTAAAACTCAGAATAGAAGTGCAAATTTACAATAAAACTTAGAATAAAAGTGCAAATTTACCGTAAATCCCAGAATAAAAGTGCAAATTTACCGTAAAACTCAGAATAAAAGTGCAAATTTACCGTAAAACTCTGAATAAAAGTGCAAATTTGCCATAAAACTCAGAATAAAAGTGCAAATTTACCGTAAAACTCAGAATAAAAGTGCAAATTTACCGTAAAACTCAGAATAAAAGTACAAATTTACCGTAAAACTCAGAATAAAAGTGCAAATTTACCATAAAACTAGGAATAAAAGTACAAATTTACCGTAAAACTCAGAATAGAAGTGCAAATTTACCGTAAAACTCAGAATAGAAGTGCATATTTACCGTAAAACTCAGAATATAAGTGCAGACTCAATGACAGACCATGTCAGAGAATCATTTATCTAACCTTGATTTAGAGTTTACACTTTGTCTCATGTCACATCTATTTACTATTAACATGCTGTACTGCAGACCTCCAGCAGGTGGAGCCTTGAGTGTTTTGGCTTCACTCTGATGAAGCTGTTGTGCTGGCCATCTTTTCTTTGATGAATAAATTGATGAAATTTGAGGCGTAAGAGCTCCACCGTCACTCAGACACTAAAACTGAAACATCAAGAAGAGTTGCTCCACCAGTTGCTCCACCAGTTGCTCCACCAGTTGCCCGTTGCCCCCTCGGCTCGTTCCTCCTGACGAGTTTCTCAGAGACGTCCGTAAATCTGAACTCTGATCGTCTCAATGTTTGATTCTGATTTATCAATCGAACTGATCGATCAGACATGTGCTGATGGTCTGCTGTCCTCCTCTGTGTCCTCGCTCTAATCCCAGTATAACTCACTGGTTCTATATCAGTCTGTAAACTGGAGACACAGACCGTAAACTGGAGCGTCTTATCTTTACTGCCTCACCGTCGGCTCGGAATTACGGCGGTTAAATTTTCATCACGCCGTGATCAGCTTCACCTGCGTGTGTTTAGATGTTTCATAGTTATGATAAGGGAATTATAAACACACACACAGACACACACACACACACACACAGACACACAGACACACACACACACAGGTGTGAACGCTGCAGGTTCAAAAACGTTCAAAAAGCTGGAGGATGACCAATTTATCAGCTGATGGAAAAACGGAGCGAAGGTCGGGTCGGCGGGTCAAGATCAAGATCAACACGAGATTTTCCATCATGTCAGCGAGCGAGCGGCGAGGAGAGGCGGCGGTTTAATGATTACTGTGAAAAAAACAATAAATCTCATTTTTAAAAGACAGAAAGAGAGAGAGAGAGAGAGAGAGAGAGAGAGTGATGGATGAGGGCGAGAGAAAGAGAGAAGGAATGAACAAACAGCCGACAGCAGGGCGTGATCGGAAAACCACGACTTTAACCTGAAAGAGAAAAAAACACCGACAGGACGATTATCTACAAAGAGGTCAGAGTCCCTGATCCTGGATCCTCGGTCCACAGGGGGACAGGAAGTCTGTCCTATCACTG